AGGCTCTGTCGATTGGAGGTCAGGTCTGCATGCCACAAGAACACACACTAAAACCCCAGAAAAACCCACAAAAACGGGCACATGTGGGCCGTGGTTTGCAACGCTCTACACTCCAAGAAAGTGTGTCAGTTAGGAATCAGTGCAGGCATTGTTCACCTTTGAAAGAGTAATTGGATTTGGGAATAAATTACAGATTATCTCATTTTTTATGGCTACCATTTATTCAATTTGTTTCATAGTCTTCAGGCTAGCTTTGCAATATGCTTGATCATTTTCTGTAATTTAATTTTATAAAAATACTTCTTGGAAATCTATTTTATAAGCTATGCAAAATTGATTTTTTTAAAGGGGTTTTTTTGATTTAAAAACAAAATCCTGACTAAAAACATGTAAGAATAGTCATAATCGATAATATTAAGTTTATTATTCTCCTTGAAATACTATAAATATTTATGAAATTATTTTAAATGACTGAAAGAGAAAATTCCAAAAGCCAAAATATTAACACTGTTGTGAAGTGATAGAAAAACCAGTTTGAAGACTTCTCCTTCAAGATAAAGGCCATGTCCTTGGCATATTTTCCAGCCAATATTCGCCTCAGTGTGGGCCACAATTTACGGCGGAGTTGGACATTAACGATTCTCGGCTTAGACACATTGTGCTGCAAATTGCGGCCGCAATCCAGAATCCCTGTCGGAGGCCAGCCTTTTCAATTAAAAACTGAAAATAAATTGCGACCGCAGCGGCGTAAATAAATATTGACATTTATGTTTAGCGATGGGCCCCTCGCAGATTGCTTTGCCAATAATGTTGTGGTGGCACTGGTGGCACAGAGACCGATTCGTAGACTATAAAAAGCCTAATTAACACCTCTGCCAACCCCTTCGGTCGATCGGTTGAACCAATGATTGGGTGCTTTCAAGGATTGCCACCAGAAGAACGGTGGGTTAGTGGCTAATTTCTGGGTTAAATATGGGTGGGGAAATGGTAATGGAAAAGAACAGCGTCATGGCAATGAAAGCGAAATTTCAGAGGCCGCCGAAAGAGGACTCCAGACTGGGAAATAAAAAACAAAATGGGGAAAAAAACATGCGTCGCCCGGAGTCGACATTCTTTTTAACAAGTTGCCCGCAGAGACCAGAAAAGGGCCTAGAAGCCAGTCAAAGTCAAGTTAAATACGCCCGCCGTGCGTCGTCGTTGGCTTTGGCTTTTGGGGGATGGGATTGGGAATGCACAGAAAAAAAATTCTATATGAAATAGAAATCAATTCAACATTATTTCATATCGATATGAAATAGGATCATTTCTACCTTATTTCATATTAATTAAAAGGCGATATGATTTATGTTAAATTTGTGATTCAAACATATCAAAATGATATTTGATCCTATCACATAAAATACCAAATTTAGGATTTTTTGAACCCATAATGTAAAATAAGATAAACATGATCTTTCTACTTATCAAAATTACATGAATAAGTTAATCTTTAACACCTTTTCAATCTGATCTTTTGTCAACTTTTTTTTCTGTGTGGGAAAGGGTCTTGACTGGTCTTTTTGGCATGTCCGCTGGGCTCGGGACTCTCTGGGTTCTAGGGCCAAGAAATATCAGAAGATCAAAGGCATTTTAACAGCCAGCGTCCAACGCAAACAATCAACACGGCCCAAAGAGCCAGAAGACAACTACCAGAGGAGACTGGGATAAGGATGGGCATCCGGACGAGCAGGAAGAGGAGGGAACCGCAACGTGCCGGCTTAAGGCCCGAAACCTGTGCACTTAGTTGGAGGACACGTACAGGATAAATTAGCAAATATTTGTATTTTTCTTTTTGTCTCGTTTTGCCCTGCAGATGTTTGCTAGTTCGCCTGCTTGCCTGGGGATTTTATTTCTTATTTAAGCAAAAATTGCATTTAAATTGTTTCGTGCTTGGCAAAAGGTCGGCTATGTAACCTTGACATTTCCAGCCGATCATCGCTGGAAATTTCGAATAGAGTCCGCCAATACACGGGGCCATCGATAATGTCTCAATTATGTCAATGCGACACCAGTGACCACTGACCAGTGACCGGCGACCAGCGAGTTGGCCTCCGTTTAGGTGCCATCTCTTAACAAATCGAAGCGTATCGACTTGATCTCATTGGCTGCATGTGCATAAACAAAACAGGCCAGCAGCACACCATAAACAAGGGGAAAAAAGCTGGGAACAAATGGGGGGAAAATGTTAAAAAACAATACATCAGGAGGAGGCATACGGTGCGTAGTGGCTGTGGCTACTACAAATAAGTCGGCGTCTGCAGTTCAGTTCCCCCATTGTGTTGGCACTAGGCAATAAAGAGATTTAGTAGCTCGTACCTCTGGCTATCCAGCAACCACCATCCAGACTCCTGCTACTCCAGCTCCTCCCGAATTCCTTCTCCTTCTTCCGAGGAGCGCATGTCCTTCTGAGCGGTCAATGCTTCCCACTCGACTGCCACCGCCTGATTTGCATGCTTAACCTTTAAGCTCGTGCGGCATATTAATCTTATCAGAAACTTGTCAACAGTCAGCCAAAGTCAATCCGATCGGGCCGCTTCCCTGCTGACAAGATATATTCATTGTTCTCGGATATCCCTTGTAATGTCTCACTCGGCTGCTCGCATATATATCAATATAGCTACAATGGAATTGAAGGGTTTAAGAGCTGGGAAAATAAGGGGTTAGTATGGAGATTTTTGTGGGCTAAAGCAGGTCTTTAAATAATATTTTCTCATGCCCATGTGAAAACTTGTAAAGTTACATTCACTTTCAAGTTCTTAGAAATTCTAGTAAACAAATAGTTTAACTTACTCTTTTTGTAGGTATTGAACTTTGAAGGTATACAATCTTAAAAACTTCTCACAGATCAAGAAATAATGATAGCCAAGACCCAAAAATAAATCCAATATCTTGAAGGACATTGCATAAATGTGAGGAATTTATTATGGGTTTCTGTTGCCCTGTCTTTTGATGATCTCTGTCTTAGAAACCGACCTTCAGGCAACGCCAAGCTCAAAAAAATAAATTCCCAAGAAAGATATACGAAAACCCCTGCGCATTCCCTGGACCTCTCTCTAATGATTTCCTGCTTAGGATGCCGGGGCTCACCCATAAACCCAAATAGGCTGCCTCTTTCCAAGAGCTGTCCCCCTGCCAATGATTAATGCGCCGATCCTTGTCCGGGAATTATGTATTTGGGTTAATGTTACACCGCCGCAGCGCCTGGCATTGCTTTAATTTTGTTTTAACACTAAAATTGCCAAGTACCAGTATTTATTTGATGTGCGCATTGCTACAACGATTCAAGTGGCGACTTGGACTGCAATTTCCTTCCGTCGTGGAGCTGCGCATCTTGATCGCCGGGTTCTCAGGCCGTGGCCAGAAAACTGGAATCCCAGCGAGCCAATGCCGAGATACTGATACTGATGCCGAAGCCAGTGCTGTTGGCTATTTCAAAATCTAACTGTTAACTGCAAAAGTTGAACGTACTGGCAGCATGCAACATGCAACGGCTGCACCCACGGCAGCAGCAGCATTAACGGCAGAACACTGCAAATAAATTATAGGGAAGAGGAGTAAAATATTTTGTATAAAAAAAAACTTTACCTACAACTCTTATTTAACTAAAGAATTTTATAAGCAAAGGAAAGCTTCTTAAAATACTACAAAAGTTAATCAAAAATAAATTCCAAAATGTTTTAAAGTTCTTCATACTTACTAAAAAAGGAGAAAATATTTAGGTACTTGCTCAGAATTTCTAAAATAATTTTTTTGCGCAATATAATATTATTTAGTTTGGAATTAAAATTTAGTAAATTCAAAAATTATTTCGTTATTACGCTCAACTAAAATGTTATTGGGTTTGAAAATGTTGTTTAATCAATTCAGAAAATACTTATTTTCTCGCCGTGCATGCAACTGCAACAGAGCGGCCAGCGAAACGAGTTGAAAGCCGTTTTCCCTGTTTGCCAGCCAGCTCTTGAAAGTGGTTTGTTGTCTAACTGCGTTAGTTTCTGCTTTAAATTGTGCGCCCAAGCAGCTCCAACTGCAGCGGGGTTTAATGGCTCTAACTGGAGACCTCGACTTTGGCCACCGACTTTTGATTCTGTTCCTATAGTTTCTGTAGTTGCTGTTCTGTTCTGTAGCTGTAGTTCTCAGGCGGCGCTGGATAAATGTCATAGCGGCGGATGCAGCGGGCACATTTATCATTAATCAAAGACCCATCCGAGACTTTGAGACTTCCAATATGCGGAAACCGCCAGCAAGCTATGTATAGCTAGCTGTATTTTCTGTATTTTCCCCCTCTCAGCCTGGTGGTCGATCATTTCCGCCGACAAGTTCCTTTATTTTCCTTTATTTTGACACTGGGCCAGCAACGGCAATTACTTGTGCCACCGAAAACCCTCCTCCCTGCCGCCCTGATTTATGAGTTTTTAATGAGCGGCAACCTTACACGAATTGTTAACAAGTGGAGTTGCGTCGAATGAAGTCGGTGAAGTCGGCGAAGTCAGGCCAATATAGCAAGTAATATGGCGAGCAATCGCACCTTGACACTCGAGTCGTGCGAAATGTCAGATGAAGATGCACCAATGATACGCTCAATGGGCGTTGGAATGCATAATACTCTACCTCTATGGGAAATAATATACCAAGTCATGGGTAAACGCATGAAATTTTAATTTAAAGATGGCAACTCTATTCGAAACTTATCAAAAGGTGTGTAGCCATTAAAGTCATCTCATGTTATAAATAAATTCAATAAACATTTGATAGGAATTTTAATAGAAATAAACACTTTAAATGTGGCAACTCTATTTGAAACTTAACAAAGGTTTGAACGATTAATCTGGATTTTAGTTTAAAAGGTTGCAACTCTATTTGAAACTTAACAAAGGTGTGTAGACATCGAAGTCATGTCATACATATGTTAAATATTTTCATTCAATTGCCAGCGAGCAGTTCTCCGGAGTTGCCTAAAAAGAAAAATTAATTTCTGACAAGAAATAAAGGAAATTTTCACCGATTTTAAAATGGTAAAAACCACAAAGCGTTCTTACACTACTGGTGCTTCAAAATCCGTTGCTGCTAAGCGCAAGAAATTCCTGAAGGAGAATCCCGATGAGCAGAAGGTGCTAACTGGCTTTGACCGCGGTCTGGAGCCATTGAAGATCTTGGGGGCCACCGACTCGTACGGAGAAGTGATGTTCTTGATGATGTGGAAGGGCAGCGACCATGCAGACGTGGTACCCGCCTCGGTGGCCAACATTCGCTGTCCCCAGTTGGTCATCCGTTTCTATGAGGAGCGTCTCGTGTGGGATTCGGACCAATCGTCCGGAGGAAGTGAAAACTCAGAGTAGGATGAAGGATCCCTATTGCAAGGACTCTTACACGACGTTTTGAAGCTGGTTTTACACGATGCAGAGACTGCTGATGAAACACACAGAACACTTGACAAATTCATAATACAACACACATTTAATTCTCCACCTTAATGTCGAATGGATGGAGCGGCTGCCTTTGCTCTAAAATCTCATAACTCTATAAAACAAATTTTAAAATTGTTCCTAATTTTTTAAAATATTGTTTTACAATACCTAACACACTTTACACTCAATAAATACACCTTGTAATGAAGAGCATTTAATTCGCTGCCTTGAATTCTCCACATTTTCTGGTTTCTGTTGTCGCCGGTGATTGATTATGCATTTTCATGCGAACTGGTTGCCGATGCTGATGCTGCAGTTTGGTTTGGTGGCATGCGGGCAGGTGAATAAGTGAGCTTAGCTCGTCCCAGCCCCATTCCCAGCCCCGCCTCCCGCCTGCCGCCTTCTGGCCACAGCTTGTTGTTGGAGACAGGCCGGCGGCATTGTCTGCCAGGCGCGAAATTATACATGTATTTTTACACTAAACGAAAATAAAAATCTAAAAATATTTCAATAAATTCTAAAGTTGCTTATAAGATAATTTTCCTGCATTTTATTTTTATGCACAATAAATTCAACTCATCCGAAAAGTGAAGGTTTCCTTATATAGCAACATATGCCTAATTTTTCCCCGTGCACTTAATGCTGTCAGTGACCTTCACATCGAGGCGGTGGAAAACCTGCAATTAGAAAAAACCCTAAGCCGCAGGATCAGAGACCCAACTCACAGGTTCCATTTTGCAGGCGCCCCAAGATTTATGCAGCCAGTTAAATAAAAATAAAAAGGAAGGGTTAAGCTAAGCAGGCGACGCACCTTCTTTGCAGCGACATTTTGACATTGAAAAAGTATAATTAATTGATGGGGCCCACCAGCAGGTGGGCGTGGCCAGGGGCAGATTAAATCGATTTATGCGAGATTTATGAAAAAAAACACGAAAGAGAAAATAAAATGGGGCGCCGCCTGCAATTTGGAAATCAATCAAAGCCCAATTGCCACTCGCATGCAAAGTAAAGTAACCCATAAAAATAAAAAAACACGAATAAACATGAGAAATTCCCAACTACTGTCGATTGCATCGATGACGCGTCAGCATCCGGTGGCGATCTTTTTAGGTGTGTTCACACTAACCCTCTCCACTGTTCAACTGATGCGAATGCACAAAATGTTTGCTTTGTGAGAAACCCATTTTTCAAGCTATCAGCATTTATTTTTAATAAAGATGCCATCATGAATTTTGCGTCTGTGTGTTTTCGTGTAGAATGTGTTTATTTTTTTTCGGACGAACGGACAAAAATGTGTCACTCGCTTCTTTGACTTTGATTTAGTGGCTAGACAGGTTAAAACCAGATGAGATCATCCCCGATGAGGAAAAAAGACGGCAACAGCGGCAGTGACGTTGATAGCGTTGACAGCCGCCGCATCAGAGCGAGATGGCAACAGCGGGGATCGAGGCAAGAGAAGGAGCCAGTTTCTCGTTTCGCAGATCAAGAGATTCAACGAATTTTTCGGTCTTTACCTCCCGACAAGGGGCTAAATCTTATAAAACTCAAGTGGCCGGCAGTTGTTTGGCCTTCATTCAAAAATTATTTGACATTGTATAAATATTTTGATAAGATCTACGGGTATTCGTACGTAGGTCTCGAGTCAATGGTGCCGTTAGTTTGAGTAAGGTAGAGTTATTATTTTTAGGAAAAAAGTCTTTAGTCTTTGAAATGAGATTTAAAATAAATTAGAAATTATAGTAATCGCTTAAAATTATTTAGTGTGTATATTAAAAATAGTTTTTTTTTTTTAAATACGGGGCTTTTTGATATAAAAGTTGTCCTGTTCCTTACCGTTTGTAATTAATTAAGTGCGTAGCAACTGTACAATTGTGTAAAAAAGCCGACAATTACAATTTAAAGCACAAAGAAAGCCATTAAGAGCATCTGAGATAAGGAGCCTTCGATTTGCCGTAACTCTCGATAATTTGGAAATTTGAAATACGTGCTGGAGATGGAAGCGCCGCGTTTCTTTGCTGCCGCATTGCATTTCGTGATTTGCAATCGGGGGAAAAACAAGAAACCGCATTTGCCACATTTATCACGCACATATATCAGCTTGTCAGCCAAAGGGAGCTGCCCAGGAAATCCCGAGCCTAAGTCCAAACCCACCAAATTACGCTCATTTCGCGGCCACATAAATTTATCGGGGATCACAGAACACAGTACTTTCCGCAGCCCCACCAACCACACAATAAACATAAGGCCGGGCTGGGGAAACTGGGGGCCCCAACTTTAATTAAGTGATCATGAACATGGGCAAACACAAATCGCCAGAGGCCAAGGCAGTTGGATCTGGAAACGGCCAAAACAAGATTAGAAGACGCCCGGCTGCCGAGCTTCAAATGTCGTTAGAACGGAGCAAATCTTTGGACCCGGATCGGAACCCTGGCCACAATTCCCTTTATGGCCAAGTCAGCAAACAAGAGGCGATTGCCCGGCAACCCGACTTCGAAACCAACTTCCTCCTGCCAACTCTTGAAAACTGCAAAACTCCAAAGCGCATGTAATTTGGCTCAGAGTGTGTATTTTATTTAAGCGTTTATTAGCTGATAAACCGAAATAGATAAATCGTGGTCCAAAAGGGAAACCCAATCCTTAGCCTTCCTTTTTACCTTTAGCCCGTTGAAGGTTTTATGGCCAACCTCGGGCGCTCTTTTCCAGTTTCCACTCGCAGATAGATAATGGCAAATATTTTTACACACGTTAAAACATTCACGCGGGGCTAAGAAAGTTGTTTGTTCACGCCCATCTGTTAGTACAGTGAAACTTTGATATGCTGGACAACGAGATATTTCTTCAGGACAAATGAAAACATAACTATTTTGACGAAATGTCTTTTTTAAATGCAAATTCTCAAGAATGCATTTTCGATATTATTTTTCCCAAATTATTTTACTAAACTTCAGTGAACATCCTTGGAGTAATTCAAATTTATTTTTAAATTCATAATTTAGTTTATTTTTATTATTATTTTTAGGGACATATATTTTGTAAATTATGGAAACTGTATTTTTGTGATCTGGAACAATATAACGCCCTCTTCCCAGAGACTTCCGTCTCCAGTTGCCTTATGTCATAATCATGAGAGCGCCCACCTTCCATATAAAGATGCTATCGGACTTCACACAAAATTATTACGTTATCCCAAAAACCCCGTCGCCTGGGGAAACGCAGTTTTCTGTCATTCTACCCAATTAACACGGGGAGTCCATGCCGTTTTTCTCGTTACCAAGCCCAAAGTCTAATGAAAATCAGTCGCCGACTGGTAAAACTGAAAACTAAAAACCGAAAGTGGAAAATGAATGCGTGAGAAAATCGCCAACAGGTAGCGAACAATGAATATTGCGGGCACTAAGCATTTTCTGTTTCGCCAAAGGTGTTCGGGCATTACTATATTTTTTATGCCGGTCCCGTTGTTAAATAAGTTTTCAGGGAAAGAAGGCAAAGGAAGCGATAAGCCTGGGACTCAGACCCATGTTTGCGCATAAATTTCAAGTGTCATTTACCCGTCTTCGCATTTGTCTTTTGTCTCTCCCTCCTTTATTGTTATTTTTTGGCACCTGTCCGAGATGACCAGGCCAATTGTGTTTTTTGTTTGTGCGTGCTCAACATTTTTAAGTTAATTATTTTTATTTGTTTTTCGGCCTGAGCCGAAAAGCGGCTTCGGCCACAAGTGCTTACTCTCGGGTGGCCCTAATTGTATTTATTTTTTCTGTTACTTAATATGCTTTTAATTGATCTTTTGAATGCCTTTTAATGTGTGATTTTCTCTTTATTCTCTTTGCAGCAAAAATGAAAATATTTTTGCCACTAGTCACGTGGATAGTGCTACTACTCTCGAGTGCAGTAAGTAACCCATAAACATTGTTCGTTATTAAGCTAATTAGTGCTAAGTTGACGGGGGTTAAACCTGAATATCGATGGGATTAGATCAGAGGCTGCCAGCGGCACTTAACGTGGGGGTCATAATTAATTTATGGCTTCTCGAAAGGCACAAACAAAGAGCCTTTCACGCCCCGCCGCTGAAGAGAAGAGAAATATGATTAAATTTACGAGCTGCCACCTCATTATGAAACAAATTTCTGAACAAATAAACCCAAGGAGATCCCAGAAGTGAAAGAACCCCAATGATTAACAAATGCTAGTTTGAAAAGAAAAATAATACAGAATCCGAAAGCGAAGCAGAGGGAACAAATTATAACGATGGAACCTTTGATGACCTAACGGTATTCGGTCGTCTCTCATGCAAATGAGCCATAAAAAGAAATTACTGCAAAATGACTTGGGCATAGGTAGATACAGGTATATATTTATTAGAACTAACAGCTAGCTGCGAAATCTGTAGAAGAGAGTGAGAAGCTGGGCAAATAATAATTTGGCAGCCGGAGAAGAATTCCAAGTCAAGCTGAAGAAAAAAAAAAAAAAAACAGGCTAGAAAGAGTGACTAGTAATGATAGGGCCGGCGGAAGAGCAGAATCACTACGACTACGGTCAACGACTGCTGTTGAGAAACCCAACCCAACCAAACCAAACCGAGCCAATCGATGGAAGAAAGCCAAGAAAACGTAATGAATAAAAATAGCCGCATTAGCTGTAAAAACGCTTTGATAGTCATCGATTTATGCAGTCGTCGAAAGGAGGGGGTACCGGTGGGGAAAGGGTGTCCGGTGTGAATGAGGGAACTCCGAAGGGGCTTTGAGAAATTGGCCAAGAGAATTCTCTAAGCCAAAAGCCAAGTTCATTGACTCCTCTCTCACCCGTTTGTGGTTTTCTTTGCGACACCCTGTCAATGGTGGTGCTCCATGTCGAGATTCTTTTACGGATTTGCTTTCCTTTGTGCCTTTGGAACTTGATTTATGCGCGGCAGTCATAATTCATTTGATTAGCTAGATGGGATCATAATTAATTGTGAATTTGGAGAGTATGCTTTTTTTTCTCCAAACAAAAGACTTAGGCAACGAACTTGCCGGTTGACGGATGTCTTTTGTTGATTCAAAGACAATATTTGCAAATGTTTTGTGTTAATACAGGCGGATTTGTATGAACTTATGTTTTATAGCCACTCCTTGTTTGTTTATTAAAAGGTTAAAGAATTCAGAAAGCATAGTAAACAAGATCTTTTTTGTTGAAATCATTCTTAACAAGTTAACGTATTTTTTTAGTACTCGTTTTTTAGGAGATAAATCGAAAAGAATTTCTGAAGGCAAAATAACCAGGATTAATTTAGTTTTTGCTAAATAAAGCAGAGCTAATGTCCATTGACAGTTATAACGGATGTGCACTTGAGCGTTGACGTGCAACGTCGTCATCTGTCTGCCGTTGTCATTGCGCCTGTTAACAAGCTTGGCAACGAAAAATTGCGCATTGTAGTCGCTGGCACGCCGCTCAATGTCATGGGAGCTTTCAGCTTTCAGCGGGCGCATCATCATCATCATCACCATCGTCATCGTAGAGGAGGCATCACCTCACCAGTAGCATCAGCATCGCACATCCACATCGGCTTCTCGCACATCGCACATCTTTGCTCGCACGCCTTTAATTGTTGCACCACAGTTCGAGTATCGCTGCCTCAGTTGAGTGCATGTGCTGCTCATTGTGCCGCCTGTCAATTGATAAAAGTCGCAGAGTCGGCGGAATCTATTGTTTAGCAAGGCCGTTAGCGTTGCATGGCGTAAAGTGAGGTGGGCACACAGCAATTGAAAACCCAAAGCCACATCTACAGGGTTCTACAGGGGGAGCCCCAGAGCCCACAGCTCGTCGTCGTCTTCCTCTCGATAAGAATCTGCCTAAAACAATTCGCGGCTAAACTTGAACTTGACAGCCAGTGCCTCATGTTCACACCTTCCGCGGCGGGGTCGCAGAGCAATTTAAGCTGCTTTTTTATGGCCTCCTCTGGGGCTCATTAGGCGCCCACAACAAAGGCAGGGAAAATTGGCCTTAAATGTAGAAACTGGGAAAATTTGCTGGGATTCTTGGAGGCTTTTGCTTAATTGAGACACTGAACCCAGTCATGAATTAAAGGCATGAAAAGGAAAAGATTGTAAAAACCATAAACCCATATAAATAGCATAAATATTTAATGCTAGAAAGGCTTCTATAAATCAATACGAACCTATAAAAAACAAATGAAAAACTCTTAAAAAGCTCTAATCAAATGAATCGTAGCCAATGGCCTAAGCATAAAAATACTCGACTTGAAAACTAAATCATAAATTTTGGTTGCCCAAGAGTAATCATTAAAAGATACGTTCACGTTTGATTCTGTTATTTATTGAAGAAATCCCAACCAATTCAACTTTATCTTGTTTTACAAATATCTGAGCTCCCTCCAAATCTGATCTAACCACTTAATAACTATATTTGAGCGTAGGAAGTCAAATTGAACGGGCTACAAAAATAGAAGTACAATCGCATATGTATAACAACACGGCAATGCGACAGAGCAGACATGTATAGAAACTAGTTTTAATTCATTTTAGCTGGAGCACAAAAAGGTCTTAAGTGACAAACTTGTTTCCCAGCCAGCTATCTAATGCTGGCGAACAGAAACAGAAACACAAAAACAAACACTCCAACTGCCAGCCAGTCGCCAAAGTTTTGGCCAAGGAAATATGGCAGGCGGCGAACAACTTTTGTTTTGCTAAAAAGTAAAATCAGCCAAGTGTAACAATTAAGTGGCGGCGAAACACAACACAAATGGCCACAATATAGTGGAGAATGGGCCGGTCTATCTACATTTGTATATATACAGTCGTACCTGTACGATCGGGTCGTGCCCATATGGACCACATCGGGTTGAGAAATCTGAAGAAGCGCTGCCGGTGCTACGCCTGCTAAGCTTGCTGTATCTAATTTGAATTTAAATTAGTTTAGCGAAACCAGCTGGGGAACCCTAAACACTATGATCTACGAAATGAGGTTGCAGCGAAGGTTGGCATTAGGAAAAGAGTTGGGGGAATTGAAAAATCTTTAGAAAGAAAAATTATCTTAAAAGTAGAAACTATTTTTTATTGGTATTATATAATAAACCTCTTTTTTATTACCTCCATTTAAATGTTACCTACTGTAAACCACTTTTTTAGCCGCTTTGTTCGCATTCATAAATAAATATGGTCAAAGGATGATATCATAAAAATGTTAAAAGATCATGTTAGGCATTTCCTTGAATTCTTCCAAATTTGTGCATGATATAAGAACAGGCTTTAGTTATATATTATAATTTAGCCAAATACGATTTTAATATATTTAAAAAGCTGGCTTACAAAGGGTTAAGTTAACTTCCTCATTTTATTGCGTGCCATTAACTAATTCCATTGATTTGCTCACTTGCAGGTACATTCACAATATTCACAACAACCGCAACCATTCAAGACGAACTTGAGGGCGAATAGTCGGTTTCGCGGCGAGGTCTTCTACCTGAACCTCGAGAATGGCTACTTTGGCTGCCAAGTCAACGAGTCCACCGAATATTTGCAGCTATTCAACCTATCGAAACTATGCGACGGTACCCAAGATTGTTTTCTGGGTGCCGATGAGTTGAGCAAAGAGCTCAAATGCACAAGTGAGTACTATAACAATCTTGGCGAGAATCGCCTGAAAGCTTAATGGGTTTACCTAACCTAACCCCGAATCGTGTGTTCTCCGCAGATGACTGTGATAAGGATGGCACTCAGTGCACACATGGCGCGTGTTTGAACGGCGTCTGCCATTGCAATGACGGCTACGGCGGTTGCAATTGCGTGGACAAAGGTGAGTCTGATTGTGCCTCGTCTGGTCTTGGCTTACATAACCGTTAAAAACGCCTCCTAACTCTCGAATTACCTCCCCCCCAGATGAGAACGAATGCAAACAGCGGCCGTGCGACGTGTTCGCCCATTGCACAAACACATTGGGCAGCTTCACGTGTACCTGCTTTCCGGGCTATCGCGGCAATGGCTTCCATTGTGAAGGTAAGTTGTACACCAAGATCAAAACTTTTCATTTCTTTAATACTAGTACATAATTTAAACTGCACTCAAAATATAGTCCAACTGATATGGAGTTATATTGTCAATATACCCTTTTAATTTGAAAAGTCCTTATAACTGAAGTTCTTTATATAGGTTTACATTTTTGTTTTGTATTGTTTTTAATACAATAACCAATACAAGTTAAGATTAAATTGATCACTATAATTTTTAGACCGGTTCAGTTTCTCGAAATATTTAAAAATTCTAGCCCAAAGGATTTATAGTAAAACACTTCCCCTGAGTTTTCCAAAAAAGTGCTTTTCATATACCTTTTAAAAATGTTCCAATGATTTTTTATATTCCGACGTAATATTCATTTTTCTCTGTGTAACCTCTGTGTACCCAGCCTCCGTCTTAGTTTCATTGTATTTGCTAGCATAATGACTGACCAGCCAACCAAGCATCGTACTGATGATTGTTGTTTGCCGTTTTGTACTTCCGTCAACGTCTGCTTTTAGCCCAGACTTAAGTCTTTTTGTAGTTTGGCCTAACGGTTTGTGCCATTCCCATCCCCATCGCGGCAAAAAGACGTCTCGAGTGCCCAGCCTCCAAAGCTGCAAAATGTAACAAAAGACGCGCCAGACAATAATATGAAAGCTTTCTCAGCCAGAGAATAGAGTAATAGTTATCTGCGAGGTAATAATAATGACCGTGTAGCGATTACACTTGAGTGCTTTGTGGCAAGGCTGGAGCGGATTAGAGAGCCGCAGGCGGCACATATAATCCCAGGTTGCTATCCCATCCCATCTGGATCTCATGGATGCGGTCCAGGCAAACGAATTTCGAAATATCTCAATCAGTTTCCGGCGATCTGCTGCTACAGTTTCGATCCCGGAGTCGGTTCCATTTGCTCGTTAGCCTAAGTGCCACACAGCGGGGGCCCGAAAAGCCAGAAGATAGAACTCTCCGGGTTCTGGCGCACCTGTTTCCCCATATATGAGTACGAGTACTACCATGAGTATATGACAGTGAGAAACCGGCTGCCGTAATTGGACTGCGGCTAATGTTACGTAATAAAAACACATTATGGCATCACAAAAACCAAAGAGGAACGAATCGAAAACAAGAACAACGGCAATAATAACTAGAAAAGTGTACGATGGGGTTATATCTTTCTATGTTCCTTATCCTCTATCCCAACTTCTTGTTGAACCCAACGCAAGTAGTTCGCTCTCAATAGGAGATGATGATGGTGATGATGATGGGGATGGATCGGGGGAAACCGAACAATAAAAAGCCACAGCAATGCTTTCGCGCCATGCAGCACACATCGTGGCTGTCGGTTAGACGGGGAATCAGTGTCATGTAATCTGACCCCGAACATGGACACGCCAGAACTTTCAACACTCCCAATGGAGGAGCCCCTGCCACGCCCCACCTGCATTCGATGCAATGCGATAACGAGCGCAAATTTCACAGACACTCTGACATTACCCCGCTAAGTATGAAGACGCTGCCAAGATTCTAGATTACATGTGACGACTGATGTGGAGGAGCCGCGAGTCCCAGTATACATAGAAAAATCCCATCCAGCTGCAGGCATGCATAAATTCTGGGCAACGACGTGTAACGCCGGCATCGCATTTCAGTCGCATTATCTAATTCTTTTCTATAGAACTTTTTCTCGCATATTATTCACGATGGCATGATTGCGCCCGCCATGTTGCATTGGGGACAGGGCCCTTCTAGAGACCCAGAACTCGAACCCGAACCAACTGAAAACCTCCAATTGTCTGTAATCATCTGAATTAGTTTTAAATGCGCTGAGAAAGTTTTTACTCGCCATCTGCACATGTGCGTGGAATAGTTGAATCTTCATCAGGGGCACGCACTCCGTTTCCCAAGGCGAATGCTCGTAAACACACAATTAAATGTAGGCAGTACCAGTAGCTGATGGCATAATTCTACATATCATATAGATAGAGTATCAGATTGCATTAGCATGTGATTTTGTAATAGGTTGGAATATTTTATGGTACTTTTTAATTTCTTTGTGATCTTAATGTTGATAGTAGATCCTCAAAATATAAAAAGATGATTATAAGGAAGTTTTATGATTTGTGAATATGATTTAAATATTTGCCTCTACCATAGGTAGTTAGTAAATGCGGGTCTTAAATCTAATACAAAATAAATTTCCGCCTTCAGCTAGGAAGTCTTGCAATCATCCTGCAACGCCCAGGTTTTCCATGGGTTTCGAGGTGTCCCCCAGCGTTATGTAAATCCAGTTTCTGCACCAAGTTCACCCAATAAACTTAGCAACAAATCACACTGCTCTTGGCCTGACAAACCCACTCTTTGCCGGCTTAGAGACACATTTTGCGTGTTGCATTGGTACAGGTAGATCTACCTGTTTTCCTGTTTCGCATTTGGCCATTTTTTCTGCATCTAACGGTGGTTTGTGGCAACACCTGTTTCAGACTCTGTGGCGCATTATTTCATGTTCATAACTCAAACGCGTTCGATGGCGATGGCTTCGTTAACGCATCGCAAAAGTCCAGTTATGCAATGACTATTGAAAAATGAAATATACGCACGCAGAGAGATGGAGAGAGTGGGTCCATAGCATCGATCCTTCTAATGCATTTGTCTTGCAATAAAAATGGAGTGAACCTCTCGAGTGCTCCGAGTGCTAAAATACATATATCCACTTGGCCACAGAGCCAAAAGACAACAAGTTGGATCGATCCGCTCCAGCTCAACCAGCAGGCACGTTCACCAACGGCGGCTGCTCCCTTTCGTTTCGCTAACTGGGGCAGATCATTAAAACGGATAAAATAGATTGTGCCCACGTAGCAACGCCGTCACAGTCTCAGTTCGGCTCGGCTCCCTCGGTTCTTCGGGTTTGAGGCTTGGGGTTTGGGGTTTGGGGTTCGAGTTTCGAGGCGGTAGCGTTGTCGGCGCTTAATGCCGCCTGTCCTCAAAAGCCCCAAACGGCACTGCCTCCATCTCCATCTGCAGCTCCGACTACAGCTCCATCTCCATCGCCATCTCCTTGTCCCGCTACCAAGCCGAAACCAAAGCCAAAAACCGACACCAACTTCAATCCGCCGACTTGGGCCGGGCGACGCACCAGTTGGAGATCAACGTCAGTTGATAAGCGTTGCCAGTTTTTCGTTCCGTTTTTTCTTAATACCCTTTAAGCAGGGTCTTAGGATTTTAGCAAGTATGAGAATATTACTTACGATCATGAGAAATAAGACCTTAAGGTAATTGGGGCTTTGGATAACTCTAAATCTCTCCAAGATTATATTTATAAGAAGAATAAAAAGCTTTTTAATATAATATCTTAGTATTTCATCATAGCGATATTTCATTAGTATATTCCTCTTTTATTATAGTTATAAATCCAGAATTTTAGATATATTAATTTGGTATTTCAACATAATGATATTTCATTAGTTTAATCCTCTTTCATTTTAATTATATCTCGAAATAGATCTTAAATCTTTGCAAGGGTACTCCCAGCTTCGTCTTTCAGTTTTCCGACTCCTTGCTTGTTTTTATTTTTGGTCAGAACCTATTTATACGCCCCGATCCGTTGGTGTGGCTTCTTATGAGTATTTTAGGTCTCTTTGTAGTGCAATTTTTTTCGCCAAGTCTGGCGACTGGCTGCCTGGTACTTTGCACTTTTTGCATATCAAAATGGCAGCAATTAATTCTCATGTCGAAGCCGGCGCTGATAAGGCATGAAAATGGCTTTAAGCGTCGGCATTGACACGCCTAATTATACGCGCGTGTGTTGCCACATTTACGCACAAATGAGGGGCGGCTCCGTCGAGGAAAGCCACCCATGGCTTTTGGATTTGGAATCGCCAGTGGCCCGGATCCGGATTCGGTTTCGGATCCGGCTGACATCACTTGCGGGTCGACCTTGATCTTAGAGCATGCAAACTTGGGGCATAATTGCGTAACAAATTGTTAACTAATTTGGGTTTTCTTTATTACTACCTAAGTAGTTATTTTTCCAAGACATATTTAGTTTTCGCTCGAGTTCAAGTTCAACTGTTAGACAGCCTTAGTCGTAGACACTTTTGGGCTCTCTAGCTTGGTTTATTGTTATTTATTCGAGCTGCTAATCATCATTGCCCGGCAGTGGAGCATGAAAGTCATGTCCGCTCGTAAATTTTATCTCTTCTATATGGCACGAATGTCATAATTCAAATTGTTTTCTGCCTCGCAAAGCAGCGAATGCAACAAATGCAGCAAATGCTAATTAGTCCAACAATTACACAATTTATTAGACGCCAACGAGACCAGACGACTCGACAACCCATGTATAGATTAGCTTTAGCTTTAGCTTTAGCCTTTTGTTGATTTTTGCAATAGTCTGATTGATAATTAGTTTTAATTGGAGCAGGCGGAGAGCAACAAAAAATCACCTCTGAATTATAGATAATTTTCTTGCAGACAGGAAATATGAAGTCTCCATCAGGCGAAACAGAAATTAAGTTAAAAGTTTCTTTCAAATCGAAATACAGAGAAATAGAAATATATTAATGTTCTTCAAGGCATTTCCCTTTTTCTGCATTCGTGTGGTTTTAATGACCCCATCACCGCCTTTTAAAATGCCACTTTGAACAAGTCTAGAACCGACTGTTCTGTTCTGACGATTGTGGTTAGCATTTCGAGACGAACAGGAAACCCAAGAAGACGACCCTGCTTAAGGCAGCCAACGAGAATTATGTCAGCATCATTTCAGGCAATCATTCGGCTTAATCACATCGAGTCACGCATATTTGATTGCTGTTAAAGCGGTCAAATCCGATGGCTAGAACGCCTACTGAAAGAAAAGAGCTTTGCCAAAATGTATTTCTAGCTGGAAAATCTTAATCTGAGTGAAGGCAAAAATTAGATTTACACTTTCAAGTCCCGAGAGTTGCAGTTTAACGGGGTGTAAGAATATCATTCCTGGCAGGAGATGCAACGGGCGTGCTAAGTTCATTAGACAGCCTTTGGTCAATGGCCCGATCTTGGGGATCCAAGATTCAAGATCCCTGGTCTGCTGTCGTCTTGCAGTCGGATTGCATAAAGTAATTAAACTGACATTGAAACTTAGAGGAACACAGAACGCTTCCTGCTTCTGGAAGAGAAGAACTCCTGGGCTGCCATTTGGAAGAGATTGGCTTTGGAAGCGAACAAGACTGGCATGGGACTAGGTACCAGAGTCGCTCGACGAGGATGATGACATTGAGTAATCAGAGTTTGCAATTGCAGCCAACAACAAACAACAAACTGCGCGGCAAACATGGAATGCTGTCATATCAGTCGGTTGTTAAGAGCAAATACCAGTTTCGGCCCGCGTCGAGTGATGATCCTCTTAATTTATAAGCTAAAAACTAGTAATTATAACTGAACGGCCGACTCGTTCTGCTTGTAATTATAAGGCACTCACTCGCCCTTTTCGTTTTGCTTTTCCTTTTTCCCACTCTAGGATCCTTGTCTTTGGCTTTTGCCAACTTTTGTACTTATGTCATATTAGCTATAAATGTACAACTTTTGCCTGGTCGCCGGCCCAATGATTAATGGGCCCAGATTGCGATGGAGCGGCTGCCCATGCCCATGATTCCGCCAGCCCTCTGGCTCTGTTTACCCCCTGTATCCCATCTCATCCCCATCCCATCCAGCCGAATTGCCGCTCCATTGGGTTCGACCGTCTGCGATATTGAATTCTCAATGCGCTGCGCGCTATTGGAGCAGAAAGCTCTGATCACCGGCTCATCCTAAGCCAGTCTTCCGCCTGATTTAAGCTTGGGACTCGCATCTGAGAGAATGTGGCTGAGCTGGGCTTAGCTGAAAGGTTAGATGGGTTGCCGACTGCCGGCTTATGCAACTCGAGAATTCTAGTGAATGTATTAAAATTAATGTCGGATGGCTTCTTATTCAAAAAGGTCTGATAGCTGGATTATAATTTTGTTCATATGAGAAATAGAATATAAGGTTCTTATATTTTTTTTTTTGGTAATCAATAATTATATTACCTTTAGTATTTTCATTCAATCCATTTTTATTCAAAGTCTGAAATATTTTTAATAATAAGAAATGATTATTTATGTGGATGCTTCTAAAATTGTAATTTATATTACTTTTAATATTTTTATTCAATCAATTTTTATTGAAAGTCTGAAATATTTTTAATAATAAATTTTTGTTATTGAGAGTATAAAAGAATGTCTCAAAAAAAAGGAATTTCATTATTTTTTTAAAAACTTCCAAACTAGAGATGTATTTTGCATGAAAATTCCAAATGGAAATGGCATGGCCCATTAACATTGACCACACATCCAATTTGTATGCAAAGCGTATGCAACTGGTGCATCCTGCTGCTGTGACATTGCAACCAGTGGCAGCCACGCCGCTGAAATGACACTGAAATGTCATGCGTAACATGCAAATCTCGGATGCATCCACTACTGCAGCCACTGGAGTTGCAGCTCCAGCAGCGATTCCAACTCCAAGTGCGGCTGCAAAGCGAGCAAAGCGCATTCAAGCGGCAAAATGCGTAGAGCTTTACTATGAGGCGGAGATTGGACTCTGTCCGACTGTCCGTGGGTTTAGTACACTTGAAGATTAAAGTATTTTCATGTTTTGAAATAAATAAATATTTAAGATTTTTTAGGGGCTTAATACATACACACAAAATGGTAATGGTAAATTTGTGGTATTTATACGCATATCGTTTTTACCATTTAATACTGGTCAAATGTTTTACGAAAGTAAGATCTCTTATTCTGTTACCATTTTTAAACCCCTTTTGCACCCTTAGTACATCATAATAGGATTTTTAAATCTAATTTAGAGTTCTTTTAGTACCTTCCTCTCAAAGATCTTTAATTAAGATCTTTCCGCTCAGTGCAGACTCGAAGGTGGAGATAAATGCTCTGCGTTCGGATTTTAATTACTTGTCATTTGTTGCGTGGCACATTCGATTAATCAAAGCCCCGCTCTCCTTTTCCCTTTCCTCCGCAGACATTGACGAATGCCAAGATCCCGCGATAGCGTCGCGATGCGTGGATAACGCCGAGTGCTGCAACCTGCCGGCGCACTTCCTCTGCAAGTGCAAGGACGGCTACGAGGGCGACGGCGAGGTTCTCTGCACGGACGTGGACGAGTGCCGCAATCCGGAGAACTGCGGCCCCAACGCCCTGTGCACGAATACGCCGGGCAACTACACATGCTCCTGCCCGGATGGCTATGTGGGCAGCAATCCGTATCGGGAGGGCTGCCAGGATGTGGACGAGTGCTCGTACCCGAATGTCTGCGGACCCGGTGCCATATGTACGAATCTCGAGGGCAGTCATCGCTGCGACTGCCCGCCGGGATACGACGGCGATGGAAGATCGGAGTCCGGATGCGTCGACCAGGACGAGTGCGCCAGGACGCCCTGCGGCCGGAATGCGGACTGTTTAAACACGGACGGCAGCTTCCGCTGCCTGTGTCCCGATGGATATAGCGGTGATCCCATGCACGGCTGCGAGGGTAAGTGGATTATAGCTAACTATATATAGTTTGGAAATTAGATTACCTCATTGTTCCATTTTGGTTATTTTTTGCACTCTTGTTTTTACGAACTTGAATTGGCGGCACCCTCAACAAACGAACAAACACCAAAACACACACATTATTATTTTTATCGTACATTAATGCACCGCAACAACATGCAACATTAATACAAAAATTAATGCCTAACGCCGGCAGATGTCGATGAATGCGCCACTAACAATCCATGCGGTTTGGGTGCTGAATGCGTGAACCTGGGCGGTAGCTTCCAGTGCCGCTGTCCCGCCGGCTTTGTGCTGGAGCACGATCCGCATGCGGATCAGCTGCCCCAGCCGGAGTTGGGCTACGGGCCGGGGGCAACCGATGTGGCGCCCTACCAGAGGACCTCGGGCGCCGGTCTGGCCTGCCTGGACATTGACGAGTGCAACCAGCCGGACGGAGTGGCCAAGTGCGGCACCAATGCCAAGTGCATTAACTTCCCCGGCTCGTACCGCTGCCTGTGTCCCAGCGGATTCCAAGGACAGGGCTATTTGCACTGCGAGAGTTAGTATCCTGCCTGCTTTTTGCCTGCGCCTGGGCTTTATTTATAGGGTATTTATGAATGAACTGAAACTTCACTTAAATTCAGATTTTTATACGACTGAAAAATCTATAAAAAAATAATTCTTTTTAAAAAATTCCATTTTTAAAATCAAAACTATTTTTCAATTTGTGAGGTAATTAAATTTAATAATTCCATTAAATTTCCGTAAAATTGATATGGTCATGTAAATTGATGTAAAACATATATCGTTCTTCAATAAAATACTTTTTTCGACCAGGTCAAATTTACCTGATTGCATATCAAATTAAAATTGATCTTAAATTATGTAAAATCGATCTACGTTTCATATCATATTTAATCTTAAAAAATCTTGAAACTTTTTAAAAATATTAACCATTTTTAAAATTGTAAGATTATTAAATCTAGAAATTAAATTAAATCAATCGATTACATTTTTGTAATTTGCTATTATAATGATCTATTTGATCTTGAAAAACCCGTAAAACTTTTTATAAGTAATCTAACTGTATATAAAGCCCAGGCATTTTAGTAGCCCACTTAGTTGGAATTTTCCAGAGTTCCCTTAAGGACTCTCTCCAACTTTGTGCTTGCTTCCCACCCTGCTGCCCACCACCTATGCTATGTGCTCCTCCAGCTGTTTTGCAAGCTTCCAGCTTGGCTTATTTGCTTCACCGGCAAATGCATGCTTTTCAGAGACAGCTTCCTTTTGAACCCCGTAGTCCCACCTTCTATATATCCCACCCCTATATATCCCCGCTCCCCCACTTCACGCTATGCTCCCTCGCCCTATCATCCGATTCCGTATTGTTTTGCATACTAATTTTGATTAATTATAATATATTTAACTCACCCTTCCCCCGAAAAAACCCGCGTGTCCCTACTCCAATCCGAAACCCTGCACCACCGACTGGAAATCGAATCGCGTAGACATCAACGAGTGCCAGGATAATCCGTGTGGGGAGAACGCGATCTGCACGGATACCGTCGGTAGCTTCGTGTGCACCTGCAAGCCGGATTATACGGGGGATCCCTTCCGCGGATGCGTGGATATCGACGAGTGTGCCGCTTTGGACAAACCGTGTGGTCAGCATGCGGTGTGCGAGAATACCGTTCCGGGTTACAACTGCAAGTGCCCGCAGGGATACGATGGAAAGCCCGATCCCAAGGTGGCCTGCGAGCAGGTGGATGTGAATATCCTCTGCAGCAGCAACTTTGATTGCACCAATAATGCGGAATGTATAGAGAATCAGTGCTTCTGTTTGGATGGCTTTGAACCCATTGGCTCCAGTTGCGTGGACATCGATGAGTGTCGCACCCACGCCGAGGTCTGTGGTCCCCATGCCCAGTGTTTGAATACCCCCGGTTCCTATGGCTGCGAATGCGAGGCGGGCTATGTGGGTAGTCCGCCCAGGATGGCCTGCAAGCAGCCCTGCGAGGATGTGCGGTGTGGAGCCCATGCCTACTGCAAACCGGATCGGAATGAAGCCTACTGCGTTTGTGAGGATGGATGGACCTACAACCCGAGTGATGTCTCGGCGGGATGTGTGGACATCGATGAATGCGATGTGATGCATGGACCCTTTGGCAGTTGTGGCCAGAATGCCACCTGCTTGAATAACGCTGGAGGATTCACCTGCTCCTGTCCTCCCGGCTACTCCGGAGATCCTCACGCCAAGTGCGTGGATGTGGACGAGTGCCGAACGGGAGTGAGTAAATGTGGAGCTGGAGCGGAGTGTGTTAATATGCCGGGAGGTGGCTACACCTGTCGCTGCCCCGAGAACACAATTGCCGATCCCGATCCCAGTGTAAGATGTGTGCCCATTGTGAGCTGCTCATCCAACGAGGATTGTCCCGGCAACTCCATCTGCGATGCGACCAAACGTTGCCTCTGCCCGGAACCGAATATCGGCAACGATTGCCGTCATCCCTGCGAGGCGCTCAATTGTGGGTCTCATGCCCAGTGCATGTTGGCCAGTGGACAGGCTCAGTGTCTTTGTGCACCAGGATATACGGGAAACCCGGCTCTTCCCGGAGGATGCAATGACATAGACGAGTGTCGGGCGAATCCCTGTGCGGAAAAGGCCATCTGTTCCAACACCGCAGGAGGTTATCTATGCCAGTGCCCCGGAGGATCCAGTGGAGATCCCTATCGCGAGGGATGCATCACCTCCAAGACGGTGGGCTGCTCCGACTCCAATCCCTGTGCCATTGGCGAGAGCTGCGTTCAGGATTCTTATACCGGAAGCAGTGTGTGCATCTGTCGGCAGGGTTATGAAAGGAATCCGGAGAACGGGCAGTGCCAGGATGTGGACGAGTGCTCCGGGCAAAGAGGAAAACCCGCCTGTGGCCTAAATGCTCTCTGCAAAAATTTACCAGGTAGCTACGAGTGCCGCTGTCCCCAGGGACACAACGGCAATCCCTTCATCATGTGCGACATTTGCAATACCCCGGAATGCCAATGTCAATCGCCTTACAAACTAGTAGGAAACAGTTGCGTTTTGTCGGGCTGCTCCAGTGGACAGGCCTGTCCCAGTGGAGCCGAGTGCATCTCCATAGCCGGAGGAGTGAGCTACTGTGCCTGTCCGAAGGGCTATCAAACCCAGCCGGATGGAAGCTGCGCGGATGTGGATGAGTGCGAGGAACGTGGCGCCCAGCTATGCGCCTTTGGAGCTCAGTGTGTGAATAATCCAGGAGGCTATAGTTGCCACTGCCCGGAGGGCTACCAAGGAGATGCCTACAATGGACTATGTGCTCCTGCCCAGAGGAAATGCGCTGCGGATAAGGAGTGTGCGAGCAATGAAAAGTGCATCCAACCGGGAGAGTGTGTGTGTCCACCTCCTTATTTCCTTGATCCCCAGGACAACAACAAGTGCAAGAGTCCCTGCGAACGATTCCCCTGCGGCATCAATGCCAAGTGCACGCCCTCGGATCCGCCGCAATGCATGTGCGAGGCGGGATTCAAGGGAGATCCTCTCCTGGGCTGCACGGATGAGGATGAGTGTTCCCATTTGCCATGTGCTTACGGTGCCTACTGTGTGAACAAGAAGGGCGGCTACCAGTGCGTCTGCCCGAAGGATTATACGGGAGATCCCTACAAGAGTGGCTGCATCTTCGAGAGCGGCACGCCGAAGAGCAAGTGCCTGGGCAACGAGGATTGTGCCAGTAATCTGGCCTGTTTAGAAGGAAGCTGCGTGAGTCCCTGCAGCAGTCTGCTCTGCGGATCCAATGCCTATTGCGAGACGGAGCAGCATGCGGGTTGGTGTCGCTGTCGCGTGGGATTCGTGAAGAATGGAGATGGAGACTGCGTTTCCCAGTGCCAGGATGTCATCTGCGGCGAGGGAGCTCTCTGCATTCCCACCAGCGAGGGACCCACCTGCAAGTGCCCCCAGGGACAGCTGGGTAATCCCTTCCCCGGCGGCTCCTGCAGCCAGGATCAGTGCTCCGCTGCGCGACCCTGCGGCGAGCGACAGATCTGCATCAATGGACGCTGCAAGGAGCGCTGCGAAGGAGTCGTCTGTGGGATAGGAGCCACCTGCGATAGGAACAACGGGAAGTGCATCTGCGAACCGAACTTTGTGGGTAATCCGGATCTGATCTGCATGCCGCCCATTGAGCAGGCCAAGTGCTCGCCGGGATGTGGCTTGAATGCTCACTGCGAGTATGGATTGGGTCAGAGCAGGTGCGCCTGCAACCCGGGAACCTTTGGCAATCCCTACGAGGGATGTGGAGCTCAAAGCAAGAATGTTTGCCAGCCGAATAGCTGTGGTCAGAATGCCGAGTGCCGAGCTGTGGGCAACCACATCACCTGTCTCTGTCCGCAGGGATTCAGCGGTAATCCCTACATAGGCTGCCAGGACGTGGACGAGTGTGTTAATAAGCCATGTGGTCTGAATGCCGCCTGCTTGAATAGGCCAGGAGGATTCGAGTGCCTGTGCCTCGCGGGACATGCGGGTAATCCCTACAGCAGCTGCCAGCCCATCGAGAGCAAGTTCTGCCAGGAGGCTAACAAGTGCCAGTGCAACGAGCGAATGGAGTGCCCGGATGGCTACAGCTGCCAGAAGGGTCAATGCAAGAACCTCTGCGATCAGGCTTCCTGTGGTCCCAGGGCCATCTGCGATGCCGGCAAGTGCATCTGTCCCATGGGTTACATAGGAGATCCCCTCGATCAACTAAACGGTTGCAGCATTCGCGGTCAGTGCGGCAATGATGCCGACTGCCGGCACTCGGAGATCTGCTTCCAGTTGGGCAAGGGTCTGCGCAAGTGCGTCGATGCCTGCTCCAAGATTCAGTGCGGTCCGAATGCCCTCTGCGTGGCCGAGGATCATCGGTCGTCGTGCATCTGCTCCGATGGCTACTTTGGCAATCCCAGCAACCTCCAAGTGGGTTGCCAGCCGGAGAGAACGGTTCCCAGGGAGGAGGACAAATGTAAATCCGATCAGGACTGCGAGAGAGGCTATGGATGCCAGGCCAGCCCACAAGGCACCCGGGAGTGCATCAATCTCTGCTCCAATGTCGTCTGCGGACCCAACGAGCTGTGCAAAATTAACCCAGCCGGTCATGCCATTTGCAACTGCGCCGAGAGCTTCGTGTGGAACCCAGTGGTCTCCTCCTGCGAGAAGCCTTCCCTGCCGGATTGCAGGAGTGACGAGAATTGTCCCGATGCCTCCGCCTGTCGCCCAGATGTCCTGGGCGTGCTCAAATGCGTGGCCATCTGCGATGCCTTCACCTGTCCGGCCAACTCCGTTTGCCTGGCTCGTCAGCACCAGGGACGTTGCGATTGCCTCGCTGGATTCGTGGGTAATCCGAATGATAGGAACGGCTGCCAGCCGGCCCAGAAACATCACTGTAGAAACCATGCCGAATGCCAGGAGTCGGAGGAATGCATTAAAGATGAGACAACCCAAACCCTTGGCTGTCGTCCTGCCTGCGATTCGGTGAAGTGCGGACCTCGTGCCGTTTGCGTGACCAACAACCATCAGGCGCAGTGTCAGTGTCCACCGGGTCCCTTTGCCGGAGATCCCTATGATCCGTTTAATGGCTGCCAGAGTGTTCCCTGTGTCTACAACCATGACTGTCCGCCCAGCCAGATGTGCAACCGGATGACCCACACCTGTTTCGATGTCTGCGACGAGGAGTCCTGCGGTGAGAATGCCATTTGCCTGGCCGAGGATCACCGGGCCGTCTGCCAGTGTCCACCGGGATTCAAGGGAGATCCGCTGCCCGAGGTGGCCTGCATTAAGCAGGGAGGATGTGCCGCTGGAACCTGTCATTCCTCGGCCATTTGTGAGGTTACCCCGGAGGGTCCGATCTGCAAGTGTCCACCGCTTTTCGTAGGAGATCCCAAGTCGGGTGGCTGTCGTCCGGATGGTCAGTGCCCCAATGGAGATGCCGATTGCCCAGCCAATACGATTTGCGCCGGAGGAAGATGCCAGAATCCCTGTGACAATGCCTGTGGATCAAATGCCGAATGTAAGGTGGTCAACCGGAAACCCGTCTGCAGTTGTCCCCTGCGATTCCAGCCCATCTCGGATGGCACCGCCAAGGATGGATGTGCCCGCACTATATCCAATTGCCTCACGGATGTGGACTGCGGTGGAGCCTTGTGCTACAATGGACAATGCCGCATAGCTTGCAGGGATAGCCAGGATTGCTCCGATGGCGAGAGTTGCTTGAAGAACGTCTGCGTGGTTGCCTGCCTGGATCACAGTCAGTGCTCCACGGGATTGGCCTGCGTGGAGGGTCACTGCACCATCGGGTGTCGCAGCAACAAGGAGTGCAAGCAGGATCAGTCGTGCATCGAGAACAAGTGCCTCAATCCCTGCCAATCAGCCAGCAGCTGTGGTCCCAATGCCCTGTGCAGCATTGCCCAGCATCGGAGTCAGTGCAGCTGCCCCGAGGGATTCGAGGGCAATCCCACGCCGGAGCAGGGATGCGTTCGTGTCCCAGCTCCCTGCTTGGCCAGCAACCAGTGTCCCAGTGGACACATGTGCATCGGCAATCAGTGCAATCTCCCCTGCTCGAAGACCTCATCCTGTGCGGTGGGCGAACGTTGCTATCAGCAGGTCTGCCGCAAAGTTTGCTATACCAGCAACAACTGTTTGGCCGGAGAGATCTGCAATGAGGACAGGACCTGCCAGCCGGGTTGCGACTCCGACGCGGATTGTCCACCCACCGAACTGTGCCTGAGTGGAAAGTGCAAGTGCGCCACCGGATTCATAGGCACTCCCTTCGGGTGCTCCGATATAGATGAGTGCACGGAGCAGCCCTGCCATGCCAGTGGAAGATGCGAGAACCTCCCGGGATCCTATAGATGCGTCTGCCCCGAGGGAACCGTCGGCGATGGCTACCCCCAGCAGGGATGCTCGCAGCCCCGACAATGCCATAAACCAGAGGATTGTGCTAATAATCTAGCCTGCATTCATGGCAAGTGCTCGGATCCCTGTCTGCACACCGTGTGCGGAGTGAATGCCCAGTGCCAGGCGGAGGGACACGAAGCCCTCTGCAGCTGTCCAGCTGGTTTCCTGGGTGATCCCAATGACTCTGGAGTCGGTTGCTTCAAGGTGGAGTGCATCGACCATGTGGATTGCGCCGGAGATCGTGCCTGCGACGGGGAGACCAATCGCTGCATCAAACCCTGTGATTTGACTAGTTGTGGAAAGGGTAACTGCCAGGTGGAGGAACACAAAGCCATTTGTGCCTGTTACGAGGGTTATCAGTTGGTGAATGGAGTCTGTGAGGATGTCAACGAGTGTTTGTCGCAACCTTGCCACAGCACCGCCTTCTGTAATAATCTGCCAGGAAGCTATAGTTGCCAGTGTCCCGAGGGATTGATAGGAGATCCCCTGCAGGCAGGTTGCCGGGATCCCAACGAGTGTCTGAGTGATGCGGATTGTCCAGCCTCGGCTAGTTGTCAAAACTCCCGATGCCGTAGTCCTTGCGAGCGACAGAATGCCTGCGGATTGAATGCCAATTGCCAGGCTCAGTCGCATCAAGCTATTTGCACCTGCCCCCTGAATTCCCGAGGAGATCCCACAGTGGAATGTATCCACATCGAATGCTCGGACAATGATGACTGCTCGGGGGAGAAGGCCTGCCTGGACGCCAAGTGCATCGATCCGTGTTCCCTGCCCAATGCCTGTGGAGCTCAGGCTCGTTGCTCCGTTCAGAATCACATTGGCGTCTGCTCCTGCGAGGCCGGAAGCACCGGAGATGCCAAGTTGGGATGCGTGCAGCTGCAGTACTGCCAGCAGGATGGACAGTGCGCCCAGGGAAGCATCTGCTCCCATGGCATTTGCAGTCCCCTGTGCAGCACCAATCGCGATTGCATCTCGGAACAGTTGTGTCTGCAGGGCGTCTGTCAGGGCACTTGCAAGTCCAACTCCACCTGTCCCCATTTCCAGTTCTGCTTGAATAACATCTGCACCAAGGAGCTGGACTGCCGATCGGATGCGGAGTGTGGCGAGGATGAGACCTGCTTGAGCGATGCCTATGGAAGGGCCAAGTGCGAGTCCGTGTGTTTGGGTCGCGCTGCCTGCGGAAGGAATGCCGAGTGCGTGGCCCGTTCCCATGCTCCCGACTGCCTGTGCAAGGAGGGCTTCTTTGGAGATGCCAAATCCGGATGCAGGAAGATCGAGTGCTCAACGGATGATGACTGTTCGAATGACAAGAGCTGCGACAATCACATGTGCAAGATTGCCTGCTTAATAGGACAGCCCTGTGGAGAGAATGCCCTCTGTACCACGGAGCATCATCAGCAGGTGTGCCATTGCCAACCGGGATTCTCCGGAGATCCTCGCGTGCGCTGCGATGTCATCGACTTTTGCCGCGATTCGCCGTGCGGACCCGGTGCCCGTTGCCGGAACGCGAGGGGGTCGTACAAGTGCACCTGTCCCCCGGGACTCGTTGGTGATCCGTACAACGAGGGCTGTCGCAGCTCCGTCGAGTGCGAGACCAACGAGGACTGTCCCCCGCACGCTGCATGCACCAAATCCCAGGGGGTGGCCAAGTGCCGCGATGTCTGCGCCCAGCTGCAGTGCGGCCCCAATGCGGAATGTGTTCCGAAGGGCCATGTGGCGCAGTGTGCATGCCGCAGCGGCTACGACGGCCAACCCGCCGACCGGGTAACCGGATGTAGGCCGCTGCCCGTTCCCTGCCAGGTCACCGGCGACTGTCCGACCAACACTTACTGCTCGGATAGCGTCTGCAAACGTAAGTACTAACACCACCCAGTGCACGGGCCTAAACCGACTACCAGACGGCGTAAATTGGCTAATCTACCTTGTAACCACCTTCTTAGTACTTACTACTTACTCAAAACTTACTTAAGAACTAGCACTGATTTACTTACCAGAGATGTTGTGGCAGTAGAAGGGAGGTTCTTGTCGATATAACTATATATTCAGGTCCTTTTTATTCGTATATATTGCATATCTATAAGACAGTAATTATTTCAAAGCCTGTTATCATGAGCTATGCATTCTTGGATTATAGTGAATGCTCACGATGTTTTCGTTTTAATGGTTTATTGAAAAATCACTTTTTATAGAATCCGAAACTCAAACTACAATAACAGAGTTTAACAAATTTATTTCCAACATATTTTTACCTAGTAAAATATTATTTTATTTTTTATAGAATGTGAAACTTAAACTACAAAAATATGGTTCAACAAATTTTTTTTTTTTTATTTTATTTATTTTTTTTATTTAATTTTATTTTGCATCCGAGCACTACAAGTAATAAAACTCTTAATTGAATGTGATAGTCACGTTATTTGCATAATATTTTTTAGCTAATAAATATTATTCCAATCCTAAAAGATCCTCTGAGCTGTCACAACATCTCAAAAGAACTACCAACACAACCCTGGACTGGCTTAAGCCTACGAACTAAACCAAATGCCATCTTATAACTTAGACTAACTGCAAACTAAAATGAAAATACAACAAGATACACCAAGATACATATGTGACCACACGCCACGAACAAATCAAGACCGAATCGAGACCAACTGGAATAAATTATTCCCTTAAGAATCCCCTAATAATTCCCCGATCTCTTCCCAAACAGCTGCCTGTGTTCTGGATACCGAATGTGGATCATCAGAGGTGTGTCAGGGTGGCCAATGCTTCAATCCCTGCCTGCAGCCGCAGGCCTGTGGACAGAATGCCGAGTGCGTGATGCAGAGTCACCTGAAACAGTGCCATTGCCCCGAGGGCTTCACCGGCGACTCCGCAAAGGAATGCGTGCGTGTGCCGGTGGCCTGCGATGTTGACTGCGCACCTGGATACACCTGCCGTGATTCCATGTGCCTGCCTGTGTGCCAAAACGATCTGGAGTGCGCCTCCAACGAGAAGTGCCTGAAGGGCAACTGTATGCGTAAGTGATCGGTCATATATCTTCATTCATTAACTAAGGAAAATTAGAAAAGATTTTTAAATAAGTCATGATTAGATTTAATTCCTTCAGAATTTTCCAAAGATTCCTTATCGATTCATTCCATTCTCTAATAATAACTCAGGGTTCGGAAACTGACACACATGTTAAAAACATGAAAAATTTTATTTTACAGTGTAAGCAAAATTGTTGGCATGTGTGTCAAATACAAAAGTGTTAAGATGTGAAAAATAATTGTTAGCATACACAGCTTACTTGTGTCTTTTACAAAATGTGTTATTAACACGACGTGTTTTTTACACACTTTGTTTTTAACGCAAACGAAAATTACATTTCAGTGACATTAACGAGTCGAAGGGAAAATAAAAAACCAATATGGGCCATGATATTTTATATGTTAGTTTTAACCATTTCAAAGCATGTATAAATTCTTATACTCTAGAAACACGCTTTGTAAAAAACACGTTGTGTTAATAACACGTCGTGTAAATAACACAAATAACATGTGTGTGTTATTTATGTTTCTAACATATGTACGATACAATTTTTTACCCACAAGATAATAACTTTTATCATGTTAATAACACAAGTTATTTACAGTGTGTGTTATTTTACGAACCCTGCTAATAACCCATCCTAATAACCATTTCTCTCCTCCAGTGACCTGTCGAGTGGACAACGATTGCTTCCTGGGTCACGTCTGCCTGCACAACAAGTGCGTGTATGGCTGCCATGTGGACGACGACTGCAGTGCCTCCGAGTCCTGCCGCCATGATAAGTGCGTGAATCCCTGCCTTGAGAATCCCTGCGGTCCCAATGCCGCCTGTTCGGTCTCGAACCACCGGGCCAGCTGCAGCTGCCTGGAGAGCATGGTGCCCAATCCCACGCCCCAGGTGGGCTGCGTTCGTTCGCCCCCCTTGGAATGCCGCGAGAATCGCGACTGTGGCAATGGATTGGCCTGCTTCGAGTCGGTTTGCCGACCTCTGTGCGCCGATGATGCCGGCTGTTTGACCAACGAACGCTGCCAGCAGGGAGTTTGCAAGCCCCTCTGTCGCCACGACAACGAGTGCGGTCATGGAGAGCTGTGTCTGGGCCTGAACTGTGTGCCTGGCTGCCGTTCCGATCAGGGCTGCCCCCAGGATTTGGCCTGCGTGGGCCAGCAGTGCGTGGATCCATGTGCCGATCCCACTGCCTGCGGCACCAATGCCCACTGCCAGACGATCGATCACAGAAAGCAGTGCTCCTGCCCCGAGGGTCTGGATGGCAATGCGAATGTGGCCTGTAAGGTGCCACGAATTGCCTGCGGGCGGAACGAGGATTGCCAGTCGAACCAGCTGTGCTACGCGGGCAGTTGCCAGGGAAAATGCAGGAACGATCAGAACTGCCTGGCGGATGAGCGTTGCATGCGGGGAACCTGTAGAACTGTATGCAACACGGATGAGGCCTGTGCTCAGGGACAGATTTGCGAGAATCGCATGTGCCAGACGGGTTGCCGAACGGATTTGAGCTGCGCCACCGACGAGGCCTGCGTGAACAAGAAGTGTGCGAACCCCTGCCGCACGCCCGGTCAATGTGGCCAGTGTGCCGACTGTCTGGTGGTGAATCATGGAGTCCAATGCCAGTGCCCCGCCTCCTTCATGGGTGACGGTTTGACTGGCTGCCAACTGCCCCCGGAACGGTGCCATCCCGGCTGCGAATGCGACGAGAACGGAGCCTACTGCGCGGCCAAGTGCTCGAGGAGCGAGGACTGCGCCTGCGGACAGCAGTGTGCGCGCGGAAAGTGCCGGAATAAGTGCGGACCCAAGCGTCAGTGTACCGTGGGTCAGCTGTGCGAGCGAGGAGCTTGCATTGCCGGATGCAAATCCAACGGAGACTGCGCCGCCGACCAGAGCTGTGTGAATGGAAAGTGCTCGGATCCGTGTGCGAATGACAAGGCGTGCGGTAGGAATGCCCTGTGCACGGTGTCCGAACACCGAATGCTCTGCTACTGCCCCGATGGCTACGAGGGTGAGCCCAGCAAGGAGTGCGTGCAGTTCGAGTGCCGTGTGGACACGGATTGCGACAGCAACAAGCGCTGCGACCAAGGAAAGTGCCGGAATCCCTGTTTGGAGTACGGAGCCTGCGGCACCAATGCCCAGTGTCGGGTGGTGGGTCGCCAGGCCCAGTGCTCCTGTCCGCCGGACTTCTTTGGCAATCCGATTAGCGAGTGTCGACCACTCGAAGGAGGATGCTCGAGCAAACCCTGCGGTGAGAACTCCAAGTGCACCGAGGTGCCCGGCGGCTATGAGTGCGCCTGCATGGACGGCTGCATTGGAGATGCCCACCAGGGATGCCTGTGCGGTGGACCGCTGGTGAATGCCTGTCGGGATCAGCCTTGTGGCTTGAATGCCGCCTGCCATGTGCTGGACAACAATCAGGCCGAGTGCTACTGCCCCGAGGACTTCCCCAATGGAGATGCCTATGTGCAATGTAAGTCGGATTATTCTCAGAGGATTTTCAAAACAATATTAAATATTATTTTTGCCCAAAAAGGTTACTTGACCCCACCAAAACAGGATTGTCGCACTTTAGGATGCGAAGTGGGTGACTGTGTGCGCCAGGGCTATGATTATGCCTGTCAGCAGGGTAAGTTCCCAGTTTATGTTCACTTTCCAAAGGTTTTAGACCATACCGTACCGTTATTGCTAATCTTGTTAACCAGCGTTCTTACAAGTAAGCGTTATATCGTTGAAGTTCTTTACGCTCACAAAATATAACTGGAAGTTTGTTAGTAACTGATTGAATTGATTTTATTGTTATAATTTTATTGGTTTAACCACATAGTTTTGAGTTTGTTTTTAAGACAAAGACTTAAACCAGCTAATTAGCTAATTCCACTAATTTAACGGCCCTCGCGGCTGCCTAGAACATTTACCCAAAACAAATTTGATTTCCGTGTAGTGTGTGTGTGCTAAAAAAAAACCAAAGCTAATAAATTTTTAAGTTTTTCTTAACAACCTATACACATGTGCGAAGTTCCAGGTATTAGTCTAATATCGATATTCCCCGCACGTACAAAAAACACGCTAAGAAACCAAAAAGCCACCTACACAACCAATTCCTAATAGGCAACTGAGTTGTTTTTCAAATAACAGACATGCCGATGAATTTAATTCAGTGCACAGTTTTTATTATGCAATTTTGTTTTAGTTTTTATTTGAGTTTTTTAGTTCTTAAGCACCTTTATTTACAATACACCATCAACGCATATGGAGATTCGTGGAATGTTGCTGTCGCTATCGCGGTTACCCAATCTGTGCCTACAATTCATTTTTGAAACACACATTATTCAAAAAGACAAAAAATAAATATGCAACAAAATTAAGTTTAGTCATAAGGAAATTTAAATTATCTTACTAAAAATTACATTCACAAAAACCGAAAATCTTAAGATTGGATTTTAGTTCCCATAAAGCTTGAAGCTTGCCTTCTCATTTCATTTGGCTCTCATGAAGCTCAGTTCTCATTTAATTCCTTCCCTAGTTACCATACAATTGGCTCTGAATAACCATCTGTATTGGCACTCAACTATGCGGCATCCATTACAACTTGGAAACAGTTAACGCACAGATCAGTAAACAAGTTGGCTCATCCCTATTTAACATTTAGTCTAACGACAAACGCCGCGATAGCGATATGTAGTCAGTAAAAATTGTAGCGAAAAATAAAACAACTGGTTAATCACAGAAAGTGCAAAGAAGGCACAACAATTAGAACTAAACCAATATAAAAAAAACACATTATGCCACGCTTATCATATAGACAACAATCCTCAACACATCCTTGATACTGAAAACAAAAAATGATCGAAATCCCAACCCGAAAATCCCATCCATCCTCCGATTCCGCTCTGTCCACCCCTTTGAACCCCAAGTGTTATTTCCCTATCGCTCTGTCGTTTCCTTTTGCTAATACCCTTTTGTTACATTTCTTGAATGAACAAAGTCTCAGATTGGGAACTGTGGACGGGACAATTCTCACACATAGTTCACATATGCTTGAAACAATTCGAAACCAATTGAGGAACATAGTTATCAAGTTAAGATCCATTACAACTGTGTACAGAACGATTACCAAAACAAAAGCAACATCAACAGCTACTACTACTTTTCAATGCATCCTTAAAGCAAGTCTACTGTATAACCGAAATAAAACCAACCGTTTATTATGTACAAAGCTCCTTTTAAAATACGTATTAAGAAAGCTCCTCCCTATCTACCACTCTCTACATAGATCGTCTATTGGTTAAAATCTATATAAACAAAAACCCGAATTGACCTAAATTGTAACTAAATTTAACTAACATTTCAATTATATTTTGGTACATTTGACTAGAGATTAAGTTGTATATACAGAAAATTGTACATATCTGTGCATATATTCGTAATCGAATAGGCCGCATCTAAGTGGCCGATTGAACTAACAACACCAAAAACAATCTGTAAATATAAACCAAATTTGAAAACTGTGAATTATGAATAACCCGGATGAATCACTCTAGCAACGTATATTTTTAACGAACTTTTCAAAATTGTATTTACCCATCAATTTTCAACTACTACTTCTTCTATACATTCCTACTAAAGCTCCTTTCTACCAAGCTAATCCTGCTATTGCCAGACTTGTACCTACACTTCCTGCTCTTCCGATAGATCTTTCTTTATCTCTCCTCTGAATCAATCACTCACTCACAAAACCAATCGCCAATAACGTGTCTCTCGTGAGGGCAGAGCGCATGTGTTGGATGTCGTGTAATTTTTGCCATTATTCAAACTGAACAAACAATAAACCAAAATATATATTAGCTCGAAATCGCATTAATCCCGAGATAATTCATTGCTCAAAAAGCCTGCCTTTAGTACAGCATCAAATTAATTGGGCAAATTGGGAAAGTGCCAGGCTCTCCGGCTCTAAGCTCGCTCGTAAAAATGGTAAATCATCAAGGATTGTAACTATACTCACTTGTTCTCACTGCTACCCCCACTCGCTCACTTGTACGCCGATCGATGACTTCGATTGAACTCATACCAACCAATGACAAAAACCAAAAGCAGCCAACTTTATTGATAAGCATTGTTTTGGCCTGCCTATAGAAAAAACATACAACCCTAGTTATTGTGAGATGTTCCCTTCACAGTTCTACAATTTGAATAAGAGAAACCGATAAATAAACTACTTTTGCTATAGATTTCTGCCTTAACTAACTGCACCAATTGACTAAAGTTAGCCAATTAAGTGAAACTGCTAAAATTTGTATTTTCCTAAATTTATGATTTCTGAACGCACCGTTTCTAATCTTATTTCGTTGAAAATCCCCCGCTAAAATTTTCTTTTACTTTAACAACCCCAATGCACAAAACCCCAAACCCCCCAAATCGAGTCCACAAAAATCCCACTGACACTTAATTGAACACAGAAACCGACCCTCCGCAACATACACAACCCCCCACCCAAACACCAAAAAGAAAAAAACACACAAAAACACCAAAGCATAAAAAGGCCCAAATCGAAACCAACCAAAAAAAAAACTGGAATATACTTTTTATATATTTTGTCGTTTAAGTTTTCTCCTTTTGTTTTTAGAAAAAAAAGTCTAGCTATAAGTCTTATCCGAGTCATCCACCCCTTTTGTTTCGAAAATACCCCAATCAGCCCTGAAACTGAATCTTTCACCAGACTATCGTCTATCAAGCTCGATCCCCAGCATTGACTCGATGATTTCAATGTCGCACTTTCGTTTCCACGTGTTTCCATACCCCCACCCCTCCAGAAAGATATATCTATTTAGCGTACCGTACCGTTTATGCCACCGAATAGTTGAATGCACCCACCAACGATTAACATTTAAACAACCAAAAACAACTCCTGTCTATCTCTCTCTCGTTCTTCCCTGCCCTGGATGTAATGTTATAGACACCGAACAATGCTACTCAGATACGGATTGTCCCAGTGAAAAGTCATGCCTCCAAGGACACTGCAGCGATCCTTGTACAATGCGTGGCGTGTGTGGTCTAAATGCGCTCTGCAAAACCGTACTGCATCGTCCGCGCTGCTCCTGCCCCAGCTGCCACATTGGTCGGCCGGAGATTGAGTGCAAGCCCGATGCCAAGTGCCAGTCGGAAGATACGGATGCCAAGACCAAGGAGCAGATTCCATGCTCCCACGACTCCGAGTGTCCGGAGACGTTGCAGTGCGGCCAGTACGGCCAATGCACAGATCCTTGCAACAATCCGCTTTTCATCTGCGAGAGCAACAAGAAGTGCGAGACGCGACGCCATCAGCCGGTTTGCATCTGCAAGTCTGGGTTTATAGTGAATGAATACGGGGAGCTGACGTGTGCCCCCGATAAGCGGGAGTGCTATCGCGATGATGACTGCGCCTCGAACATGGCCTGCAGCGATGGCAAGTGCCGCAATCCCTGCATCGTACCCCTGGGTAGAGCCGCGATCTGTGCCGAGAACAAGTCCTGCGAGGTGCAGAACCACAAGCCCGTTTGCATTTGTATGCGCGACTGCCAGCCATCGATATCGATTTGCCTGCGCGACGCCGGATGTCCGGCTAGCCAGGCGTGCCGGAAGCTCAAGTGCGTCGATCCGTGCGAGTTTGCCACCTGCGCACCCAACTCGCCATGCATTGTCGAGGATCACAAGCCGATATGTAAATTCTGCCCAGCTGGATTTATAGCCGATGCCAAGAATGGATGTCAAAAAGGTAAAGCACCAAAAGTACTCTCTATCACTCAGCTCTCTGTCGAGTGAAAGTGCCTTATGTTTCTGTCTCGATCTCTGTTTCCTGCTCTCTCTCTCTCTCACACACGCTCTCTCTGTCTTATTGTCTGTCCCTCAAAAAAAAAAAAAAAAAAAAAAAACTGCGATAAAGCACAAAAGCAATATACCCGACGAAATACATTGATCAAAGCCAAAGTCCATTATGTTTCGGGCCTTGTCAATCTGTTTCCTCGCAATGTTTGTGCCAATGTACATAGGACTGAGAAATTAACTGCCTCTAGCCGTATCAAGCTTTCGCCTAGTGATATGGTCAACTCACCCTACCAAAGCTTAGTTACAAGCCAAAAGTTCAAGTCGTGCGACTTTATAACCCCACGGTCAGATGCTTTACGCCACTAGCACAGCGACTAGGCTGAAGCACTTAAATGAAAAGAGTTGTCCAAGAATTGATCTAAAGATCGTTTAAAGTCACCAAACAAAAATACCAATAACATGAAGACACAATTACAAGAAAACTCTTCTGAACATTCACACACGCTCATGCTCACAGTGATAATATCAATTTATTAATCAAAGCCTCCTGAATACTTGTACTATGAAATCTTAACCTATGAATCTAAAAAAAATGGTAACAAGATGTAATACTAATGGTAAACCTAAACCAATCCAACACCAATATGTAGCTAACTAATAGTAAAGGCGTTCGTTTCTAATTTGAAATTGATTAACCGTAAAATAGTTTATAAAGCTTCCGATATTTGTTTGCATTTGCAGTTGAATGCAAGAGAATTAGATCAAAATCTCCAAGAGTATTTCCTTAGGTACGCCCCTCTGTATATATAGTGCACCTTCTTTATTGATGTAGCCTTACACCTTCTATCTTATATTTGGTATATATTTGTAAATATTTTAACGTATTTTTTATTTTTTAAATCTTACACTTTTATTTTGAAATATGTACAAAATACTCCACTCGAAAACCCCCAAAATTATGTAAAAAAAAATTCCAAACCTGAAAATTTGAAGCAGCTAAGCCAGGTGGCAACTGTACCTCAAACGAAGATTGCAGTGAAGCGCACCAATGTGGATCGTCGGGACAATGTATCGATTCCTGTCACACCTTCTGTGCAGGCGCAGTAAAGTGTGTTGCATCAGCTCACAGGGTTCACATATGTATTTGCCCACCCACCTTGACGAATACGACGGACACGAACTGTATTCCGACAGAAAAAACACTTGAGACTACAACCCAACAAATAGAAACGACAACGGACTCGATCAACGTAAAATACACTGTTATGCAATTGGCAAATCAAACTGAAATGAGAACCCGCTTTACCGATATAGAAGCCGAAAACGATACAACTATTTCTTACTCAAGTACAACTGAATCTTATAAGACAACAAAACAACTTTCAATTGTCACTAGTTTTACTCACCCAGAAAATGTTACAATGACCAGTATACCAACCACTTATACCTATATACCTATTGATAAGTCTACTCTTAGTTCAGCATCGCAAGAAACTACGTACCCAATTACCACCGAAACCACTACAAATGTTCCTATCGACACAAGTTTAAGGCTTGGGACAGAGCTGCCGAATTCAGGTACTGAAGAAACTACTTTTCCCGTGGGGTCAACTGATAGAAGTATTCCTACCGAAAGTCCCAAAACACCGACGACATTACCTCCTGGGACAACCCCTGGACAAATGACTGAACAAACGACAGAATCTACTAGGAAAATACCAACGAGTTCTTTCGAGAGCTCTACTCTTATTTCTGGAGCATTGGAAACAACTGTCCCATCGATAACCCCAGAAATCACTACAAATATTCCCATCGGTACAACTCGTGGGCTAGTGACAGAACAGACGACCAAATATCCCAGCGAAGTGACAACTGCAAAGGTTATTGAAGAAACCACTTTGCCTGTCGGTTCAACAGATAGAACTATTACTTCCGAAAGAGCCGACATACCGACGACATTACCTCCTGGCACAACCCCTGGACAAATGACTGAACAAACGACAGAATCTACTAGGAAAATACCAACGAGTTCTTTCGAGAGCTCTACTCTTATTTCTGGAGCATTGGAAACAACTGTCCCATCGATAACCCCAGAAATCACTACAAATATTCCCATCGGTACAACTCGTGGGCTAGTGACAGAACAGACGACCAAATATCCCAGCGAAGTGACAACTGCAAAGGTTATTGAAGAAACCACTTTGCCTGTCGGTTCAACAGATAGAACTATTACTTCCGAAAGAGCCGACATACCGACGACATTACCTCCTGGTACAACCCCTGGACAAATGACTGAACAAACGACAGAATCTACTAGGAAAATACCAACGAGTTCTTTCGAGAGCTCTACTCTTATTTCTGGAGCATTGGAAACAACTGTCCCATCGATAACCCCAGAAATCACTACAAATATTCCCATCGGTACAACTCGTGGGCTAGTGACAGAACAGACGACCAAATATCCCAGCGAAGTGACAACTGCAAAGGTTATTGAAGAAACCACTTTGCCTGTCGGTTCAACAGATAGAACTATTACTTCCGAAAGAGCCGACATACCGACGACATTACCTCCTGGCACAACCCCTGGACAAATGACTGAACAAACGACAGAATCTACTAGGAAAATACCAACGAGTTCTTTCGAGAGCTCTACTCTTATTTCTGGAGCATTGGAAACAACTGTCCCATCGATAACCCCAGAAATCACTACAAATATTCCCATCGGTACAACTCGTGGGCTAGTGACAGAACAGACGACCAAATATCCCAGCGAAGTGACAACTGCAAAGGTTATTGAAGAAACTACTCTTCCTGTGGGATCAACGGATAGAACTATTCCTTCCGATAGATCCGACATGCCAACGACATTACCACCTGGTACAACCCCTGGACAAATGACTGAACAAACGACAGAATCTACTAGGAGAGTACCAACGAGTTCCTTCGAAAGCTCTACTCTTAGTCCAGGAGCATTAGAAACAACTGCCCCATCGATAACCCTAGAAATCACCACAAATATTCCCATCGGTACAACTCGTGGGCTAGTGACCGAACAGACTACCAAATATCCCAGCGAAGTGACAACTGCAAAGGTTATTGAAGAAACTACTCTTCCTGTGGGATCAACGGATAGAACTATTCCTTCCGAAAGATCCGATATGCCAACGACATTACCACCTGGTACAACCCCTGGACAACTGACTGACCAAACGACAGAATCTACTAGGAGAGTACCAACGAGTTCCTTCGAGAGCTCTACTCTTAGCCCCGGGTCTTTGGAAACAACTGTCCCTTCGATAACCCCAAAAATCACTACAAATATTCCCATCGGTACAACTCGTGGGCTAGTGACAGAACAGACTACCAAATATCCCAGTGAAGTGACAACTGCAAAGGTTATTGAAGAAACTACTCTTCCTGTGGGATCAACGGATAGAACTATTCCTTCCGAAAGATCCGATATGCCAACGACATTACCACCTGGTACAACCCCTGGACAACTGACTGACCAAACGACAGAATCTACTAGGAGAGTACCAACGAGTTCCTTCGAGAGCTCTACTCTTAGCCCCGGGTCTTATGAAACAACTGTCCCATCGATAACCCCAGAAATCACTACAAATATTCCGATCGGTACAACTCGTGGGCTAGTGACAGAACAGACGACCAAATATCCCAGCGAAGTGACAACTGCAAAGGTTATTGAAGAAACCACTTTGCCTGTCGGTTCAACAGATAGAACTATTACTTCCGAAAGAGCCGACATACCAAGGACATTACCTCCTGGTACAACCCCTGGTCAAATGACTGAACAAACGACAGAATCCACTAGGAGAGTACCAACGAGTTCCTTCGAGAGCTCTACTCTTATCCCCGGGTCTTATGAAACAACTCTCCCATCGATAACCCCAGAAATCACTACAAATATTCCGATCGGTACAACTCGTGGGCTAGTGACAGAACAGACGACCAAATATCCCAGCGAAGTGACAACTGCAAAGGTTATTGAAGAAACCACTTTGCCTGTCGGTTCAACAGATAGAACTATTACTTCCGAAAGAGCCGACATACCAACGACATTACCTCCTGGTACAACCCCTGGTCAAATGACTGAACAAACGACAGAATCTACTAGGAGAGTACCAACGAGTTCCTTCGAGAGCTCTACTCTTAGCCCCGGGTCTTATGAAACAACTCTCCCATCGATAACCCCAGAAATCACTACAAATATTCCGATCGGTACAACTCGTGGGCTAGTGACCGAACAGACTACCAAATATCCCAGCGAAGTGACAACTGCAAAGGTTATGGAAGAAACCACTTTGCCTGTCGGTTCAACAGATAGAACTATTCCTTCCGAAAGATCCGACATACCAACGACATTACCTCCTGGTACAACCCCTGGACAAATGACTGAACAAACGACAGAATCTACTAGGAGAGTACCAACGAGTTCCTTCGAGAGCTCTACTCTTAGCCCCGGGTCTTTGGAAACAACTGTCCCTTCGATAACCCCAAAAATCACTACAAATATTCCCATCGGTACAACTCGTGGGCTAGTGACCGAACAGACTACCAAATATCCCAGCGAAGTGACAACTGCAAAGGTTATTGAAGAAACCACTTTGCCTGTCGGTTCAACTGATAGAACTATTAATTCCGAAAGAGCCGACTTACCAACGACATTACCTCCTGGTACTACCCCTGGTAAAATGACTAAACAAACGACAGAATCCATTAGGAAAGTACCAACGAGTTCTTTCGAGAGCTCAACTATTAGTCCAGGCTCATTGGAAACAACTGTCCCATCGATAACCCCAGAAATCACAACAAATATTCCGATCGGTACAACTCGTGGGCTAGTGACCGAACAGACGACCAAATATCCCACCGAAGTGACAACTGCAAAGGTTATTGAAGAAACCACTTTGCCTGTCGGTTCAACAGAAA